CACCTTGGGTCTTTTCCTTGTCTCCTCACTTCCTTGAATCTGGCTTTCTTCTTCCTCAGTATAAATCACCAACTCTCTGTTCCTCTTGAGTGAATTATCCTCAGCAGGTGAGGAATAAAGGTCCCCCACCCTAAGCAGTCTGCCATCAGCTGATCTCCTCCTTCTCCATGTTGCTGGAATACTTTGTTTTATAGGTTCTATATCAAACTGCTCTTGGATAGAGAATTGGACAGCAGTTTCATGCTCCCTGACCACCTCCACCTCCATATCTGCTTGGCAAAGGACTAGCTCTTTCCCTACTCTGGATTCTTCCTCCTCCCCTTTGTCTATGGTGATGCAGAGATGCACTCCTTTCTCCTGGACATTTAGATTTTCTCCTGCAACACCACTCTGCTCATCATGTCCTGTCCCAGAGCCATCTAGATGTTTTGCATTCACTGTGTCTTGATTTTCATTAGCCGAGGCTCCTTGCTCCCCATTAGAATTAAGCAGAGTTAAATTAGTCTTGGTTCCAGAACTACTAGCCAAGCTGCTTCTCCCTCCTGGAAAAGTTTCAAGGGCTTTGAGCCATTTCCCAAATTGTCCCTCTGCTAACTTGTTATCCTCAATGTCATCCATCCTTTTCTTGCAGTTCCTGTCCAAATGCCCTATCTTCCCACAATAAAAGCAAAGATTTACTAATCTTTCCTATCTGAAAGCCACCAACACTTTTTCACTTCCCAGTTTGACTGTGGTGCATCTAGGGATAGGTTCTTTTGTATCTACCACAGCCAACAATTTCAGAAAACTCCCCACAACACCCCCTGTCTTGCACACTTGAACATTCTTAACTCCTTTAAATATCTGGCCAATCTTCATTCCCACGTCCGAGCTCATCCAGTTAATTGGCACATTAAACACTTGGACCCAGAGCTTGATTTCCTCAAAGACTATATGATTACAGTTCAGCCCTGAAAACCATTCCTCAAGAACAAGGTATTGGATTTCATAGATCCACGTGTGACCTGCAAATACCTTCTTTTTATCCTCCAAAGAGCTGAAAATAAATTGGAAGAAATTTGTGCTAAGCTCCTTTACCTCCATTGGTTGTTGGATTCTCCAAATATTAGCCATAACTCTCTTAATCCCCAGCAAGTTAGCTCCTCTATGTCCCACCACTTTCCTGAATAAGCTACGACCATACTCCTCCACGCTGAGCTTGATGTCAGTGGGTTGTATTTCAATGCCCCCAGCTTCCTTATCTGATAATGAGATTGTAATATCCCGATATTTTATCGGTATAAATTATGTTTTAGTTCCGATATAATAACGTTATCGTTTATTATTTTCGGAATTAATTATGTTCAGTCGAGATTACCGAAATTTATTTTCGACGTACCGTTTACGTTCGGAATAATTTTGGTAATTAAGCATTATGTTTAATTAAATAATTAAACATAAGTAGTGATTAATTAGTAAATTAATCACACACTTAAGCATTAAGCCGTGAGTTAGGGCAAAATTTTCTCCAATTTGTAGCAAATTGCCGTGCACTATGTATATGTTCCAATTTTACTAAGCTTTCCTAATTCTTAAGGAAGAATTTTCCTCCCACACTTGGAGTTCCACGTGGCTTAAGAAGAGATAAAGTATGGGGATTAGTCATCAACAATCCCTTTCATTAACTAGCAAATGTTGAGAGGAGAAGGGAGCCACGTCTTCAATACATCATCATCATCCCCCTTACGACTTTGGTATAAATTGAAGACGTTGGTCGAATTTTTCCCTCATTTTCTTATAAGACATAAGCAGCATATTTACTCCTATATAATCCCCATATTCAGCAGCAAGAAAGATAGCAATCTCCCTAATTTTCCCATCTAAACGCACGGCCAAGATAGTATAAGCGCACGGCACACGCAAGGACAAGAAGCACGCTCTATTTTTCCAATTCAGTCGAGCGATTCAAGAGGTAACGTCCTCCCCATCTTGTATTCACGTTGTTAAGGTCATGTTAAGGTGAAGTGTTCGGATCATATTTGAAAATTTCTAGGAAAATCATGCTTAAGGCCGATCATGCTTAAGTAAGATCACGACCGAACAACTTTTAATTTTTCCCGGCAACTCTCGAACTGTTGATGTTTAAATGTTCAGTTTAACTGATTTCATGTTCAGTTTAACTAATTTTTCCCGGCAACTCTCGAACTGTCGAGGCAAAATGAAGTTTTGTCGATGAATTGGCCCACGCCGTCGCTAGCGCCTATCGCGCGTAGCCACGGGCGGCCGCGGTCCATGTCTTAGTGATTTCAGTAATAATCATATTGTCCGTGTGTTCATGTCGTAAAATTGCCTCATATTAATGTTCATGTCAAGTTATTCTGTATTTGCCGTGAAAAAAGGAGTTGTGGCCGAGAGACGGCGTATAGCCGTCGACGGCGCACGGCGCGCCCGCCACGGCCCTTTCATGTTCATTGTGCATTAGTTACGTTTTCGAGTCATTATGATGATTGTATTCATGTTAAGTCAGAAAAGGTTAAGTAAAGTC